ATGCCACAAATGGAAAATTCCATACTGGACTTTATGTGATACATTTCAGGAAAAATATTGCATGAAATTATTTCATGCAGGGTTAGCACCATGGGCAAGCTAAGCCTCCACTGATGGCAGGCTAAGCCTCTACCTGCAGCAGCAGCATCCCATATGAATGCTGATTCAAGTCCTGGCCACTCCATTTCCAATCCAGCTTCCTACTAATGGCCTGGGAAGGCAGTGGAAGATGGCCAAAGTTCTTGGGCCCCTGTACCCACATGAGAGGTCCAGAAGAAACCCCTGGCTCTTGGCTTAGGATCAGCCCAAGTCTGGCCTTTGTGACTATTTCAGGAGTGAACCAGCAGATGGAAGATTTGTCTCTCTCTTTTTTTTTTTAAGAGTTATTTATTTTTATTGGAAAGTCAGATATACAGAGAGGAGTAGAGACAGAGAGGAAGATCTTCTGTTCAATGATTCATTCCCCAAGTGACCGTAATGGCTGGTGCTGCGCAGATCTGAAACCAGAAGCCAGGAACTTCCTCTAGGTCTCCCACGCAGGTGCAGGGTCCCAAGGCTTTGGGCCATCCTTGACTGCTTTCCCAGGCCACAAGCAGAGAGCTGGATGGGAAGCAGGGCTGCTGGGATAAGAACTAGTGCCCATAGGGAATCCCGGCACGTTCAAGGTGAGGACTTTAGCTGCTAAGCCATACTGCTGGGCCCGATCTGTGTCTTCTTGTCTCTCTGACTCTCTCAAAATAATAAATCTTTGAAAAAAAAATCAACAACAACAAAAAAATTGTCTCATGCCTTGTGATCTTGCCAATCCAATGAGGAGGAAATCCTTTCAAGGTCCATCTGCTGACATAGTCCATCTTAGAGTCTCCATTCACCCAAATATTTGCTGTCATCACTTGGCTGGAGTAGCTGTCCAATTTGTTCTGCCCTCCTTCCTCTACTGTGACACCAGATGTCCTTTGCTGTGCCAGCAGCAGAAAAAGAAATCCAGCCCTCCTAGGAGATGAGAAGCAAAACCTTCGGGCCCACTGTAGTCTTGCGGTTTAAATCCTTGCCTTGCACGTGCCGAAGTCCCATATGGGCACTGGTTTGTGTACCACTGGCTTCGTTTCCCATCCAGCTCCCTGCTTGTGGCCTGGGAAATCAGTAAAGGACGGCCCAAAGCCTTGGGATCTGCACCCACGTGGGCAACGTGGAAGAGGCTCCTGGCTCCTGGCTTTGGATCAGCGCTGCTCCAGTCATTGCGGACACTTGGGGAATGAATCAACAGATGGAAGATATTCCTCTCTGTCTCTCCTCTTCTCTGTATATCTGATTTCCCAATAAAAATAAGCATAAAACTTAAAAAAAAATAATAAGAAAAGCGCTCTTTGCTTCTGCAATTACAGTCTTCTCTAGAAAACCCTCAATTCCATAAAGCAACTCTGGGAGTTCCTGGCCAAGTCCTGGAAGCTCAGTATGCAAAACCCAGCTGCATTCCAGACACTAACATAAACCACCTTGAAAATGGAATTAAGGTGCTTGGTGTGATAGCCTAGTGGCTAAACCCTTGGCTTACATCTGCTGGGATCTCCTATGGGCACCAGTTTGTGTCTCAGCTGCTTCACTTCTCATCTAGCTCCCTGCTTGTAGGCTAGGAAAGCAATAGAAGATGGCCCAAAGCCTTAGGACCTTACAGTTGCATGGGAGTCACAGAGGAACCTCCTGGCTCCTGGTTTTGGATTGGCGCTCAGCTCGAGCTGTTGCAGCTACTTGGAGAGTGAATCGGCAGATAGAAAATCTTCCTCCCTGTCTCCTCTCTGTAGATCTGCTTTTCCAATAAAATAAATATTTTTAAAAAGAGAGAATGGAATTAAGGAAAAGAGTGCATTTAGCATTAGTACCAAGAGAATAAGATGCTTCCTAAACTCGACCATAGAAGTGACACACGATGTGTGGAGCCTCCTTCTGGGGTGATTAAGATCCTGTGCAGTTAGGAACCATGATGGTACACAACACAAAGGTGACTATATGAATACACAAAGACGACTATACTAAAACGGTGGATTTTGTGGTATGTAAATTGGACCTCAATAGAACACTCACTGGAAAGAAAGGTGAGGGAGCAAACAGCAGGCTACAGAGACGTGACAGGAAGTGAACCGGAAGGCAACAGGACACAGGGAGCCTGGTTCAGTAGGCCAAGGCCGGACAGAGGTGTGGCCAGCTGCCATCTCCTGGCGTGGGCTGGACGGCCGAGTCCTGGGATGGACACTAGTCAGTCTTCTGGCCTGGATGTGCAGTCCCCAAGCTCACTGATGCCGGTGGAGAGATGCTGCCCGTTTTGCACAGAAACAGAAGATAGAAGGCTGTTCTGTCACAGGCTGACATAGAAGGTGGCAGGCTGTGACAGCAGAGTCCCCAGCCAGATCTCACACTCAGCAGCGCATGGGTTACCAAGGACAAGCAGGGAGAGAGCTGAGACACTCTGCAGCAGAAGCATCAGCACAGGTGTCAGAGATGTGGCAGAGAGAAGGCTCCATTGCGTCTTGGTGCTTGGCTCTGCTGACGGTGGACAGCAGTGACATCAGACTCAAACAGGACTGGGTATTTGGAGGCTGAAGTGTTTGTTTTTATTTTTATTGTTGTTAAGAGACAGGGTGGGCACTGGAGTGCAGCAGGTAAAAGCCTCTGTGTGGAACCCCTGTACCTCCTATCAGCAGGGCAGGGATTTAGATCTAGCCATGTAGGAGACCCAGATGCAGTCCAGGCTACCAGTTTGGGTCTGACCAATTCCTGATTGTTATGGGTGTTTGGGAAGTGAATCAGATGATGGAAGTCCTCTCTGTTTAGTTGCTTATTTGAATAAATGAAAATTTAAAAATATATATGGTAATTGTTCTGCATTTCTGCACTGTGATTATGTTATTCTCAAGAACAAGGGGTACGTCTGTATATTTGCCCCTTGCCCTCCTAGGGCCAATTTTCCCAGGGAGGAGGACAGACTGTAGATAATTCCTAAATTCTTGTCTAGTTCTGAGCACCCGTGAATTGGAGATTTTACTCTCTCTGGCTTCATGTCCCGGGGTAGAAGGTGGGAAAATGTCAGGACCTGAAAAGTGTGAGGTGCATCTCAGAACCGCCGACCTCACTGCCCCCTGGTGGCCATTTCTGGAAATGACGGGCAGAAGCCTGGACTCCAGTGGACGACAGCAAGGAGTAGACAGGGGCCGGTTCCGTGTCCCGAGAGACCAACTCTCAGCCCAACACAATGCTCACGGCACTCCCCTGGGTCCCTCCTGCAAACAGCTTAGCAGCAGGACTGGCCTCTGTTCTGTACCAGCTTTCCCTAGACACACACACACACACACACACACACACACACACACACACACACACTAGTTGTCCCTCACAATGCCCACTACTCACAAAGTTAAAGCCTGAGAGGAATGGGGTAGCTTGCATCAGGCTTGGGGTCTGGCCTGAGTCAGCCGCAGGTTGGGGCTTTGGCTCTCAGCCAAAAACAGACGCCCGCTGTAGGACACACCTTACCTCTAACCTGAGCCCTCCTTCCTATGCCTCCCCCCACGCACTCTGACTCTGCCCTCACTTGAGGGAGGAAGCTAGAAGTGTTTCCAGTGCTTCTTATTCATTGAACTGAACAGAATTAGAATTTGGAGACTGGGGCCCAGCACAGTAGCCTAATGGTTAAATCCTCACCTTGAGTGCACCAGGATCACATATGGGTACGGGTTCTTGTCCCAGTTGGTCTACTTTCCTTTCAGCTCCCTACCTGTGGTCTGGAAGGGCAGCAAAGGTTGGCCCAAAGCCTTCGGACCGTAGACCCCTGTGTGGGAGACCCAGAAGAAGCTCCTGGTCCCTGGCTTCGGATCAGCTCAGTTCTGGCCGTAGTGGCCACTTTGGGAAGTGAACCAGTGGAAGGAAGATCCTTCTGACTCACCTTCTCTCTAAATCTTTCAAATTAAATAAATAAATATATATTTTAAAATTGAAGGGCTGGACATTTAAGTGCAGGGGTCAAGTTACTGCCTGGGATGCCCACGCCCTGCAATGGAGAGCCTGAGGTTCAGGTCCCAGCATTCCCACCTGTAATCTACTTTTCCACCAAAGTGTATCCTGGGAGGCAGGTGATGATGGTTCAAGTCCTTGGGTCTTCAACAACCAAGCTATGTAAGAGACCTGGATGGAGTTGCAGGCTCCTGGTTTTGACCTGGCCTACTTGGTCCTGGCTGTTGTGGGTATTTGGGGTAGTTATCGGTGGATGGAAGATTTCCTTCCCTACTTTTCAAATAAAATGAAAAGAATTTTTTTTTTTAAAAGAAAGACTGGCATCAGGATGTTTAATCTGAGACTTGTAGCCACTAGTGTGACAGCAGGTCACTTTGTGCCATGGCTAATGTCAGGGTAGGGAACCTGGTTTGAGAGCCAGTTCAGCCATTTTCGAACCTCTTGGCTGGACAGGAGCCTTGTGCCACACACTGCCTGCTTCACTTCCCCTGCAGAATCTCCTCCCTTAAGCATGTGCTGGGCCCAGGCACCTGCATCTAAGAACTGGAACTTGGCAGCAGGAGCAGGAAGTCACTTAGAAGGAGTGGGTCAGCAGGCTGCTTTCACTCATTCTCTCTCACCCAGCCCTCTCCCAGGAAGCCAGCTGTCAGACTGGGAGCAACCCCTTGGAAAGACCAATGAGACAAGGATGTGAGAGTGGCCTCTGGTCAACAGCTGGAAAGGAAGCAAATCCAACGGCTATGTGGATGACCCAGGTAGCAGAGCCAGCCTCCGCCAAGCCTGGCCATCACTAGAACCTGCCCTGGGACAGAAGAGACTCCAGCAAAGGCTCAAGCCACCCTTCAGAGACGCCAGCTTGCAGCCATGGCCACTGTGTGCTGAGGTGGCTTGTTCCACACCACGGGTGACAAATGTGCCACACACAAGGGGTCCCTGTGGGTCACAGGCACCACTAGAGTCTCTCCCACATGTCTGTCATACACAGTAGTCACACATAGAGGTTTCTTGTGTTTATTCATTTAGGAATATACAAAAGTCTGACATGAACAGCAGTCTCACAGAGAATGAACAGAGCCCACTAGGGAGGCAGTGGGGCCTGGCCTGCAGGAAGGCACGGAGATGAGCCCTGAGCTCCGGACGCTGGTCTGGGAATGCACCTGTCCTGCAGAGGGCCAAGCCCTGCTGTGAACGGAAGAGGGACACTGCTTCACCCTCAGACATGGGGCCAGCTCTGAGTCCACCCCTCCCTGCCATCCCTGGACATGGAGGCTGGCTAGCCCAAGCGATGGTGCATCAGGCCCAGGCCTGGTTCCCGGCAGTATCACAGGCACTCTGGACCTGCCCCCCGGAAGTGGGACCTGAGCTGGGGCTTGGGGGGACAGTGACCAGGCTGAAAGCACAGTGTGCTGGGCCATCCCAGTAGCCCACCAGGACGGTCTTGCAGTGAGGTGTGTGGTGGGCCGCAAGACAGCAGTGTGCACCCTCCGCTCTTCTCCACATCCCCCTTCCCTGCTGGCTGCAGAGAGCCAGTGAGCCACCAGGCCTGAACCCCAGGGCCTTCCCTCCCTCCCAGCTAGCCAGAGCTTTGGGTAGGCAAGCAGAGTGCACGGAGGCCCAGATGCATCAGCCACCACCTAAGGAGCAGCTCAGGATGGAAGTGGCTGGAGCTACAAACAGTGACTCTCTCCTTAAGAAAGACCTACTATCATCATGGTTTAACAAATTATAATTTCTTTTAAATAACCCACAGACACCCATGACGCTTCTAAATTTACAGAACAGAAAGCACTTGAGAACTTGGTAGAAAAGGATTTGCACAGCCGGTTCCTTCCGGGCGCTGGCCTCAGGGGGCGGGGCAGGAACCGGGCTCAGTTCACCTCCAAGACCTCGGTTTCTGGGAGGCCGAACTTGGTCTTGTGCTTGTTGAACAGCTTCACCAGGGCCTCCATGTACATGGTGTGGTACAGGTCGATGTCCTGCTGGGTTGGCTGTTCCAGCTTGGGCACGGTGATGGGCTCGCCCACTGCAGGGATGGATGGGCAGAGGTCTCTGGTTAGTCTGTGCCTTGGGGCCTCTTCCCCCATGTGCCCACTCTGCTGGTGCTGCTGACCGTGCCCCGGGCACCATGCTGAGTGCTGCTGTGTCCCTGGACAGCTGAGAAGACTGAGGCACATGAGCCCAGCACACACAGTTGCCGAGCAGCAGCTGGGATCAGCGCTGGCTGAAGCTGTGGTACCTTGCCACAGTTCTGCCCTGGGCCTCGATTTCCTCATCTGTCTCACTGGGACCCCCTTCTCAGAGCTCTGGAGGACTATGCTTGGAGTATGGGGAGGGCGGCCAGGCAGCCACAAGTGCCCCTACTGGGTATGGTTACTGTTTAACCTGCTTTCTATGTGTATACACACACCCACATGTGCGTACAGACACGCATGTATACACACCCACATACACATACACACTCCTCTATCACAGCCCACTCTTGGGAACTTTGTAAACTGCCCCCCGATGCCCACAGCAGCATGGCTGCAGGCCAAATGCAGCCATTTAGGGCTGCACCTCCCACTGGTCTACTTTGCAGTTGCATTGCTTTGTACTGTTTTCTGCTCCTTACAAACCTACATAGCCTTGCTACTGGAACCTCACTTCAACTGCTGCTCCCCAAGGAAACGCTCTTCGCCCTGCCCTCCTTGCTGAAGAATTCCAATCTGCTAGCAGTGTGAGTCACCTGCCCCTCACCTCCGCCCTGCAGGTCACTACAGCAGGTGCGTTTCCCTGATAGTCAGCAGGCACAGCACACCTGCAGGCTGCGTGTCTCATTCCTCACCTGTCGCAGTGAGACTCCCAGCAAAGGCCCTTTGCCCCACCCCACCCCACCCCACTCACACCCACCAACACCCGCACACTCAGCACACAGCGAAGGCCTCCGGGCTGAGAGCATGGCTCCAGGGCCAGGCAGCCTGCACTGTGACACCCTAGGGCTGTGGGCTGGGGCTCACCGACGGTGGTGATGGGCTTGGAGTAGGGCACCAGCCCCCAGGTGTTAGGGGAGAAGAGGCCTCGGCCATGGAAGATGCAGGGGGCAAAGCCGATGTACTTCTGGAACTTCTTCTGCACCCAGCGGCCCCAGGAGCCCTCCTCGAAGATCACCTGCTTGTACACCTCATTCTCCCCAAATGAGTAGGTAGGAACCAGGTCGGCTCTGGAAGGGAAAAGGCCAGTTGTGCCACAGTCCTGTTACTGGCTTGGACACCTGCTGGTGGACCCTGCTCTGGATGCCAGCCAAGCTGCCCTGTGTCCCCATGGTGCCCCAGGTGCCAAGCTCCTGTCCCCTCTCTGCCAGACTGTGAGGGCCCTCCATCCTCATGTTAAGTGCTCACCTCCCCATTGCACCCCATCCCAGGCCTCTTTCAGCCCCAACACCCTCACACTGTGTTGTCACCACCTGTCCCTCCTCCCTCTGGAGCTCCCCAAACGTCAGGACTGGTCTGATGTGACTGCACCCCTAGGGGCTAGCCAGGGCCTTTCCTGGAGTCTGAGGGCTGCTGTCCCACAGCCACCCTCCAGGATGCCTGGGTGGGCTTGCTAGAGGGCCTTTTCCACACTGAATGTGTGCAGTCCTGGTCTCTGTTAAGCCTTAGTGTGGCTGGGGGATTCCTCACCCCAGTCCTCAGACAGGGCAGAAAAGAATGGTGCTGGAGCCTACACTTTAATTCTGCATCTCATGATGCGCCCTGGCCTGGATTCCTTACACTTCCCTCAGGATTCTCCAGTGGGAAATGGGGTTGTGACAGCTGCTGGCCTAATAGGTGCAGGGTGAGGGACTGGAGGGGGCCTCTGAGGTGGATGCACTTTGTCAAACAGAGGTGCTGAGCAGGCAGCAGCAGTACATGGCCCTGGCTTCCTGGAAAGCTGCCTGGTTCCTTTCTGCCTGTCTAGGGTCCCCCTCCTGCCAGCTTCCAGGGGCTTGCAGCCTCGGCCTCTTGCCTAAGTCTCTGGTTTCCCTAGCAATGTGCACATCTTGGCTGCACGTGTAGAGTAGCCCACCTTTCCACCTACCCATAACGGCCCTGGGAACAACCCAGGTCCCATCCTGGTCGTACCCAGCTGGCTTGGCCTGCACTTGGACAAACCCGGCCCAAACCCAGTTCAAACACACAGTGTGAGCTCCGACTACCCTTTTCTCCTGAGCCTTCCTGGGGGCTGGGCTCTTACTCCAGAGGCAAGGAGCCTGCCACCCTGGGGCACACATGTGTGCATGTGCATATGCACGTGTGTGGAGGGGACACTCACCCATGGCGCAGGGCCAATTTCACGAAGCCTTTGCGGTTGCGCAGTGTGACAGCGTTCTTGCCAGGCATGGAGCTCAGGGACTCAGCAGCGCCCCCAACGACAATGATGATGGCGTTGCCACTTCCATTCTTTGACAGCAGGTAGTCTATGGTGTCCCTGTTGACAGGGCAGATGCCTGGGGGAGCAGGGAGGGACAGAGAGTCAGGATGGCCTGCAGGTTCCACCCCTGCATACTGTCAGGTGTGACACGGAAAGCCCAGACAAGGGCTCAGCACCTGATCCAGCCACTTACAGCTTGGCTAGGCTAATCATTTTTCTGGGTCTCAATTGACCTCTCTGTAAAATGGGGGAGGTGATGATATAATTTATTTGGAAAATACCTCCTTGAAGTTGTAACTTTGTTGGATTTTGGGCTAGGGGGTGGGGATCCCAGTGAACCAGCCTGGTGAAGGCCAGGGGGCAAGGTGGATGATGATGGTGCCATGACAATGGTCAAACTGTAGAGAGGCAACACAAGGGCTAGCGTCCCCAGAAAAGGGTTACCTAGGGTTGCCTAGGGCAGATGGGAGCCCAGCCTGGCAGTGTTCCTGGTAGGGTCTGATGAGCCCCATGTCTGGCACAGGTACACTGCAGTATGGGACCAGGCACAGCAGCAGGGTATGGCACATTGGTTCCCCAAATCGCCTGCTCCACAGGGAGGCTCCAGCCCTGACCCCACCTCTGTTGACAGCAGGCAGAGGCAGACTCTCACCTCCAGACATTAGGTACTCCCTGAGCACAGGCATCCGGAAATTGCCAGCCAGAGTGGCCAGGTAGGGCCTAATGCCAGGGAACTTCTTGCTCACTTCAGTGGCCTCCGTGCTGAAGTTGCAGAAAGCACCCAGGCCCATGATGCCATGGGGGTGGTACCCAAAGATGTAGTTTCTGGTGGTCAGCAGGTTGTGTGTCTTCACCAGCTGTGGAGGGAAACCTTGGGTCAGAGGGAACGGGTGGGGGGAGCAGCTCCCGGGCCCACCTGGAAGGTGAGGAAGGCCCCGGGTCCTGAGGCCCGAGAAACCATACCAATTCCACTTCTGGTCCCTGGGGGCTAGGGCCTTCTCTCCCCTCTCCCCTTGTTCCCCAGCCAACTTGCACTCTGATGCCTTCTTCTGGCTACTAATCACATCCTGACTGTTTTAAAGCCTGAATACAAGCCCTCCCCAACCCTCATCCCCGTCCACTCTCAGACCATCCAGCTTCCTTTGGGGCAAAACCCAAGTCCAACACAACTGGGATCTTGGCTGCAAGCTCTGCCAGGAGCTTCTTGTGGGGCTGGGGACTTTTAGGGTCTCACAGAAGACACCATACTGCCCCCCACTCTGTCTCCCAGATCCAGAGGAGGGCACATCCTGCCAGGCTGCCAGGCTCAGCTCAGGTTCTAAGGCAAAAAGGACAGGACAGGGCAGCCAGTTGCCCAGTGCCAGCTGGGCCAGAGGGGAGGGTGGGGGTGGTGCAGGGGAAGCGGTATGTGGTGCAGCTGCAGGAGCTGCTGGCCAGGCTATATTAGCTCTTTTAACAAAGTTATCCTGGAATGTTCCAAGAGCAAATTGGTTTCCTCCAGGCCCACCTCTGTTGTGAGCGGGGTGTGGGGGAGTGCAGTGAGGATCCCCCACCCTACCCTGCCCTAGCCTGGAACAACTCCCCAGCATGACAAGGACTGTGATGGGGGAGGGGGACCTGGCTAGAGGCGGGGGAAGTGAGCATGATAGGCCTTCTGTTAATATCATTTTTTTTCCTCTCTGATGAAAAAGAGAATTTTCAAAACATAACAAAATAATAGGAGTCTCTGAAGCACCACTGAAACACCCGTGTTTTTTGTGCAATCACACTTGGGTTAAATTACAAAGATTCAGGCGCTATAGCTATGCTTTACCCCGTCAGCGCACCCCAGCTCTGGGCCCTTATCCAAACCTCTCGGGGACTGCTCCTGCCCCACAGAGATGCCCCAGGGAATGGTACTGCCCCAAATCCTGAACCAAGGATGCTTGGCCCATTCCAGGTTTCCTCCTAGGTGGACATCTCTCTGTCCTCACCTCTGATTGCTTTCAAGAGCCCCTCTTCTGGGCCTGGCACAATGGCTCTGTGGCTGAATCTTCACCTTGCATGTGCCAGAATCCCATAGGGGCACAAGTTCCTGGTCTGGTTACTCCACTTCCCATCCAGCTCCCTGCTTGTAGCCTGAGAAAGCAGTAGAGGATGGTCCAAAGCCTTGGGATCTTGTACCTGTGTAGGAGACTGGAAGAAGCTCCTGGCCCTGGCTTCTGATCAGCTCAGTTTTGGCTTTTGAGGCCACTTGGGGAGTGAACTAGTGGATGAAAGATCTTTCTCTCTGTACATCCTTCTCTCTGTATATCTGCCTTTCCAATAAAAACAAAAATAAATCTTAGGAAAAAAAGGGGGGGGTCCACCTCTGGGGACATGACTCGAGGGCAAGGGCCTGGACACACGGGGTCTCTGATCTCTGCTTCTTGGGAGAAGGACGTCCCTGACGTTCACTGACCTGTGACCAGAGCATGGGCATAGTGTCAAGCGCCTGAATTTTCCATGACTCCGGATTTGGAAACCTCCTGGCTGAGGCTTCCAAAGAACCTTGTGCACAGTTTGTGGGGAGGAGGCACTGGCCTCAGGAAACTGAAGTCCCCATCAGCAGGTGACAGAGGCCTACAGGAGGGCAACCTGGGGGAGACTGGCACCCTTCCTAGCACTGCACCTGATTACAGTGGTAAATATCAGCTAAAACCCCTTGGTCATGGTCCCTGGCATGGGGCGCACACAGATCCTTTTTCCCACCTTGTCTCTGGCAGGCCAGTTAAAGCGGCTCAAAAACCCAGCCAGCTCCCAAATGCCCTGCGCCACAGATGCGGAATAGCAGTAAGGGGTCCTAAAAGGAGCCAAGGCTGCCAGGAGCCTTGCAAGGCTGCGGCCCCAGAGTTTCTGCCTCCTGACTATCAGCTCTGCTGGCTGGGTTAGCTCTCGGCAGTTACACCTGAAACCCTTGAGTGCCAGCTTCTACAGAGCGTGCGGCATCAAGGTGGGAGAAAACGTGCTCCCAAGCTGGGGGCTGGGCCTGGGCCCACCCCCGTCATCAGGAGCTCTAGGGACAGAATGAGTGGGCAGAGTCCTGCAGACTTGGGCCATTGCCTGGATGACATTGTGTCGAGCAGGGCCAAGTCAGGGAGGTCACTGCAGGTCACCTCTACATCTGGACCAGGCTGCCTGCCCACCTGTGCAGTCCCCAAGCCTCTGAAGATATGCCATCTGGCTTCTTTATACCATCTCCTCCTGCCACGGCTCTCTGGATGGTGCCTGTAGGGGGTGCCCTAGGGGGCACAAGGCAGGCCCAGGGCCCCGGTGCTGCACCCAGATGAAGGGCGGGGTGGCTGTGGCCTTGCTCTGCCCCCATACGCTGCCCTCCCCGCGAGTCAGGATGTCCACTTGACAGCAAAGACAAAGGGTACCACTGCAGCTGCTGAGGGCTCTGTTGACATGCCTGGTCTCATGTCCCCTCTCTGCCATTGCCAAGCCACAGCCTGGCAGAGCATCCGGGCCAGGCCTGCTGGCTAATGTGAAGGGCGACACATTCCTGGCAGGTCACTCCTGCGCTAGGGAAGGTGCTGTGGGCCCAGCAAGGAAGGAACCTGGCCTTAGCCTGTTCAGCTGGGCAGGTGGCAGAGGGGTTACAGGGATCCCACCCAGCCATGTTACTGATCCTTCTGTGACCTGGGGACAGTCTCTCCTCTCTGCACTTCAACCTGACGGTCTCAGTCCTAACAGCCGTTCCTTGTCTCCCCTACAAAGATCCCATGGAAAGCTCAGGGACAGGAGGCCCAGGCACCATCGCCACCCTTCTGGGTGGCTGGTGATTCCAGCAGCAGCAGCTGCTGACATATGGTCCAGAAGAAGGGCATTTGCTGTCTGTGCTGATTAATTGCTCTTGGTGGCAGAGAGCCCCACCAGGAAAGGAGCGTGAGCACGGGGACTGAGGGAACAGCTGGAGACCTTCGTTACAGGAGCCTTGGGGGGACAGGAGGGTCCCACCCAACCCTACAGTGTCACTCCGTTGTTGTCAGGGCCTCAAAGTGCAGGATTGCATGAGGCCCCAAGGGGCAAGGGCAAGGGCAGAGTCCAGCCTCAACATCAGGCTGCAGTTCAACAACCCAGGCTGTATGGGGCCCAGCTTGGCTTTGGTCAGGGCAGCCAGAGGACCTCAAGGGGCCAGTGTCCATGTGCCCTGTGGCTCTGCCTCACAGCTGACCTTTTATAACAGAGACAGACAGAGGACACGGGGCCTTGTTTTGCTTCTTTTGGGAGAGTGTCCTTCAAGCAGAAAGGACACCTGCTTGTCTCAAAATGGATCCATTTTTCACGTTACCCCAACTGGGAGAGGTTGGAAGGCAGGTACACTGCCAGCCTCCAGGCTACGAGGACACTGGAGCCGGGTGTCTGGGATGAGGGAGAGAGTGCATGCAGCAGAGTGGGTCACTGTTCACATGTGGGTTAACGCATTGCTTTCTTTCTTTTTTTTTTTTTTTAAGATTTAATTTATTTTTATTACAAAGTCAGATATACAGAGAGGAGGAGAGACAGAAAGGAGGTAGAGCTGCCGGGATTAGAACCGGCGACCATATGGGATCCTGGCTTATTCAAGGTGAGGACCTTAGCCACTAAGGCACGCCGCCAGGCCCAATGCATTGCTTTCTATCTTGTGAGCCGCTGCAGGTTGCAAAGGTGGCTCAATGAGCTTGAGGAAGAGACAGAGACTGGTGGGAAGTCCCAGACTGTGCCCACTCTAAGGCTGACCCTCCTGTGTGCCCTCCTCCAGCAACAGGGCCAGTGAATGGTGACAGGGCCTGAACTTACCCTGATCTCCAATAGCAAAGGGGGATCCCTCAGGACTGGGGATCAGTCCAGTGGGGGAAACCCAAGGCCTGACCCTATTATTCCAGAGAAATAAGCAGCAGGAATTAAATGCAAAGGCCCTGGGGCCTGGGTGCAGGAAGGCTGGGTTCCAACTCTAACCCTGCCCTGGACCTGCTGTACAGCTCAGACGAGTCCCTGCCCCTCCTCAGACTTAGTTTCTTCACCTCCACAAGATGATGCAACACCCTCCCCCACCGTGCCCACCAACAACAGCTTTAGATTCTTTGCAGTCTCAGAGTTAGGGGGTCAGAGAGGGAGGAGAGGAGGCCCCGGATCTGAGGAGCAGGAAGGTCCTGGAAAGGAGTAGGCGGATGGAGCCGTCCCACAGGACTGAAGGAAGCAGAGGAACACAGCCACCTCTCCCAGGAAAAGTGCACCAGGATGTCTTAGTCACTAACTTGCAGCAGCCAGGGCATACCACCTAGCATCATGCCCTCATATGCCATCTCCACTCCTCAGCCACCACCTTCTGGGGGGGCCTCAGTGGCTGTGCTGGGGCTGGAGTGGGGGGCTGAGGGAGTAGGCCAGGCAGGTTGTTAATTTACCAGGAGAACCTTCAGAGGTCAGCCAGAGTTACCCACAAGCATCACTCTCACCAACAGGCAGGGAGGCCTGGGTGGCCCTGCCTACCCTGCAGACCCAGGAGGAGACTGAATGGATGGAGTTGAGACTGAGGGCCAGGCTGCCACTACTGATTCCTCCAGGATTTCAGAGGGGCTCAGAAAAAGGCAGGCATGTGGGAGAGCAGGGCAGCAGCCTTGGCCAGCCAGTGGTATAGCCAGAAGTCCTGGAGTCCACCCTGGCCTGAGCTTCTTGTGGGGAGATGATGTCCCAAGGATCACACAGCCCAGGATCATACTGGATATCACTCTCTCTATCCTGCAGGTGTATAGGAAGCCCGAGCGTGTGCCCATGTGGCTCCCCTCATCCTGCGGCCTGGAAAGGCAGGGCCAGTGGAAAGGTCGGGCTTCAAGGCAGTAAAACAGCTGGAACCTCTACTCCACCACTCACCCCCTCCTTTCGGCTTCACTGCTCTCTGACCTTCCATACCCTCTTCTGAGAAATGGGTGTACACAGAGTTAACACTAGTCTTTCAGGGCACTAGGAACTATAGCAGATTCTAGAGGGAGAGGCACTGGTTCCACATAAAGACGATGCTGCTTCTCCTTTCTGCCTGCTTGTCACCACCACCCCCTGCCCTGCCATCTTCCTCTCTCCCACCACCTTCCTCCCCACCCTGCTGGGGGCCTGTGTCCTCCCTGACTCCCTCAGCCTCACTGCTGCTTCTCCTTGGAGGCAGAGCTCCAGGAACAGCTGCCTGGAAACCCTCCCCAGGTCCTCTGGCCACCAGGGGCATGGCCTGGGCCCTCCTTCCCACAGCCAGGAACCCACTTGGCCCTGAGAACTGTATTTCTGTGGGATCTTAAGAAAGCAAGCAGACCCCTGACACATGTCACCATGAATTTCAGCCTTAGTTCAGGTCAGATGAACCTAACCTACCTTAGTACTGCTCTTGATAAATCTCCTCCATCTTGAATTTGTGCTTTTCTCTAAGTATTTAAAAAAAGCATTTTCACTGATTTAAAAACAAGAGAGAGAGAGAGAGATCCATCCATCCTCCATCTGCTGGTTTACTTCCCCAATGCCAAAAACAGCCGGAGCTGGGTCAGGTTGAAATCGGGAGTCCAGAACTCAATCCACGTCTCCCATGTGAGTAGCAGGGACTCAGTAACTTGAACCATCCCCTGTTGCTTCCCGAGGTATGCAGTGGTAGGAAGCTGGTGTTGGAAGCAGAGCCAGGATCTAAAACTAGGCACGCGACACGGGGTACAGGTGTCGCAAGTGGCATCTTACTCTTGGTGCCAAGCCCCCCGATTAAGTTATGACTTCATAGTCACTGAATGGTAGGCCAGCACTGCTTATGAGATATGCCCTCTGCTGCGTACATCACTCAGGCTCTCACATCTTAGGTTTAAATGCTATTATAAGCCTTCTTCCTCCCAAAGAACCACTAAACCTCATCCTAAGGCAACAAGTTAAGAATGAACACATTTTCCTTTTTGCCTTGGTTGCCCGGAAACTCTGAGTAGAATATGAAGTTCAACTACAGCAACTGTATTGCTTGTGGGTTTGATACACTTGTATTCCTCCCTCCCAAGTCTTGATTCCTCCCCCCGCCCTTTACCTGGTGTGTGTCCTAAGCTGTCTCAAATTCTGCATAAAGTAGGGTACAGTAAACAGAAGCAGGCAGATGCAGACCCCAGCTGGTGCAGCTCAATGCTCTTTGGTGTTCATCCATCATGAGAGGTTGACTGGGGGGTCAGGCCTGGATTCAGAACTCCCCTGCTGTCATCCATCCCCAACCACCAGTCCCGAAAGGACAACTGTCAAGTCTTTACCTGGATGGGGAAGTAGTCTCGAAAATAGCGCCACACAGCCCAGTTCCGTACCCACTGCGATCTCCTGCCACCTTCCAGGGAACAAAACACAGTGTTGGGAAGAAGTGGGGGTGGGTGGGGAGGGTAAACCAGACCGAGCCAATGAGAGATCCCGAGGAAGGTGGCCACAGCTGCGGGCTGCAGCTTTACGCCTTGCAACCGGTGCACTCCCTTAGGTTATTGGTCCCAAGGGCGAAGCAGTCCCAGGCACCAGGTGCTCACCTTTCTTGGGTGTGTTCCAGTCGAAGGCCAGCCAGGTGAAGTAGAGCACGGCCAGGAGCCAGCAGTCGGTGCAGAACGTGTACATGAGGATAACGCTACAGGCCACTCCTGCGGGAGGCCAAGGACCACAGTCAGGGTCTTAGCATCCCTCCGCCCCCCACCACCGCCCCACTCTGCATGGTGGCAGGGTATGTGTTGACTGGGCTACTAAGCTGGGCACAGCCAAAGCCTGGGTGTCCCCAGCTATAACCACTCAGAAACGGCTGGGCCTAGGGAGCAGCAGGTCTGTGGGCAGCAGCATTGGACATGGGGAGACGTGGGTTTTCCTATGGTTCTTCTGCCTCCTCCCAGCATGTCCCACCTGTGCCAGGGCCTGATATGTCTCTCAGGATGAAGCAGGGCCAGTTTCAGCTGGGCCAGGAGTTGAGGCAGTCACTTGCCCTGGGATACCCTGCTGTTCGGTGGCAGAGCCAGGTTGCCAACTTGGGTCTGACTGTAAAGTCCAATTTTGGTGCTTTCCAAGCTCACCAAAAATGAAGCCCCAGGCCATCAGGGAAGGGACAGGAGACAGAGGAGTCCTACTCCAGGAGGAGGGCTGGCCAGAGCCTATGGCATACATGCAGTGGGGCTTTGAGCTGGGCTCTGTGTTTGGGCCTGCCTGGCACTGAAAGGCAGAAAAAGTCAGGGCAGTCTGTCCCACTTTGCACTTCCCAGTGCCCCCCTCTCTGTTTCCCATCTTTACCCAGCCTTCAAGGCCTGGCTCAGAACTCATCTGTTCAAGAACCATCCAGCTCCCCCAACTGGCTTCTCTCCCCTTTGCATGCCTCATATCAGCAGGACATAGCTTCTTTGCTGCCCCCAGTCCATCCACTCCTGGCCCAATGTCCTATTCCCTGGCAAAGGAACACAAGGCCAGGAATAGCAGGGACTCCTGCTGGTAGGAGGCCTAGTCTCCCACAAGCACACCCCTTCCTTCCCCCATGCGCAAGAGAAGCTGAGCCTTGCCAGGTGCCCACCCACTGCTAGGCACCCAAGGGTCAAAGGCATTCCAGGGTTCTGCCCCCTTCCTGCCACCATGTTTAGCCTCCTTAGGTTTCTCACAGGAAGAGCACAGGCTCAGAGGCACACTCCCATGACATGACCCAAGGGCATAGAAGTGGCAGCTCTGCTGTTGCCTGTTAAGTCAAGCGTGCCCCAGATTCCTGAGCCAGCCTGCTCCCGGAGATGGGGGTTAAACACAGGGTACAACTGCACCCAGGCGTCCTGCAGCCTACATTGCCACCTTGCTGCCTACGCAACCCTGGTGAAGGCTACACAGTCAGACACTAAAGTTGGACGTGCTGTGGCTGTGGAAGGACTGCTCCACAAAGCCATGCTAGGGGCCCACCACAGTAACCTGGTGGCAAAAATCATCGCCTTGCATACGTCAGGATCCCATAGGGGTGCAGGTTTGTATCCCGGCTGCTCCACTTCCCAAGCAGCTCCCTGCTTGTGGCCTGAGAAAGCAGTCGAGATGCCCCAAGACCTTGGGACCCCGCACCCATGTGGGAGACTCAGAAGAAGCTCCTGGTTTTGGATTGGCTCACTCCAGCTGCTGCAGCCACTTGGGGAGTGAATCAGCAGACAGAGGATCTTTCTCTCCTCTCTGTAAATCTTTCCAAAAAAAAAAAAAAGTCATATTGGTTAGTAGGTCCCCTTTCCGAGGCCTGGGAAAAGGAACCAGCCTAGCTCCCAGATACCACTGGGCTCTGAGCTGCTGCGGAAGCAGGATGAGCACTCCCCAGGCAGGACCCGAACTTTTGCAGGGGTGGCGGGCCAGGAGGGCTCTAAGCCCATCTCTCCCACCTGGTCCCTCCATACTGAGGCAGCCTGCATCAGATGAAGAACTAGCAGGGAGTCTAGGCTTCAGCCTTGGCCTGCAGTGTTTCTCACCATCCTCTCCTTCCTCACTGTGGGACCACCTCCTCCAGAGAACCCTCCAGCCAGAGTGCCCGGGGCTCCCAAACCCAGGCAGATGCATGCTTCCCCAGCAACTAGCACCAAAAAGGTCACTCTTAGGAAGTGAGTCCTGTGCTCCCTCATCCTGCCCTCTTAGGTGGTGGGGCTGCAGCAGGTGCTGGCCTCCCTGCACTGATGGGATGTAAGGAAGGGATTTACTCCACCTGGGGACAGCTTGAGACAGCTCAGTACAGCTTACACAGCTTGCCCTTCCCTGCATAGCACAGCGGCTGAAGACACACAATTCTGCAGCCTAAGGTCCAGGGACCCAGGTAATCAATCAGATATGCAGTGGCCAGGAGTCTGGTGAGGCTAAACAGACCCAGGCCTTGGCCCTGCCATGATGTCCTGGGCCTGGCCCATGCGGGCTTTAGTGCCTTTTACAGGGGAGAGGAGAGGAGACGCTGGTGGAACTTCACACATACCCTGGCCCTCATCGCAGGAATATCTCTGGACCTGGCTGGGGAGCAAAGCATGTCTGAGGGTCCACTCACCTCTCAGAGAATGTCAGTGTTTGCTCCACTTACAGACTAACAAACCACCAGGTGGTGGCACTGCCTATCACTGGGGCTTCACACTGCATCACAGTATCACTGTATCACAGCAATGGCAGAGATCCTGAGAAGTCACTCCTCCTCAGGGCTACTTACAAATTACAGTCCTTACAGCCTCTTGCTAGAGCTTTTTATTGACTGCAATTAAAAAGTACATGTGTCATTACATATCCAATTGCTTTTCAAATGTGTAGATGTTGATAATTCAATATCCTTGGATTCCTTTGAGATTCAAGGTACTCTGTATTCAATATTTAAAAACATGCAAGTCAGTGGTTTAGACGCTGGTTAAGGTACCCATGTTCCACACTGGGGTACCCAGCTTCCACACACAGCTCCTGATTCTAGCTTCCTGCCAGTATACCCTGGCAGCAGTGGTCATGCGTCATTGGGTCCCTGTCACTTATGTAGGAGACCTGGACTGACTTCCCAGCTCCCAGCTCCCAGCTTCTGCCCAGTCCATCACTAGCCATAGTGGGAATTTAGGGAGCAAATCAGTAGATGACCATTATTTTTCTTTGCCTCTCTTTCCCTCCACCTCTTGTGGGGGGTGGGGAGTGGAATTAAAAACAATGGGAAAAAAAAACAAAAAACACTGAGGTCCACAACCTTCCCTAGAATGCTAGAGGGCTCAACAGAACCAAAGTAGAAAAAACAACAACAAAAACCACGGGCAGAGGGCAGTTAAAGGGCCAGCAGGCTCTGCTACAGTCAACAGCCAGTGAGCCTCAGCCAGCAGGCTGCAAAGCCGTGGGAGGGCATGGCTGCCGCTCAAGGTGCTCATTAGCAGGGCTCAGCCGACCTGCCTGGCTGCAGGTCTGACTCCCACCTACACAGGGCGTTGAGAAGACAAAAGCTGGGCCAAGCTGTATCTGGGTTGTATCAGGTGGATCAATTGTTAACCGCAGCTGCAGGCCACTCCCCATCAGTGCTGTGAGGGCTGGGGTGCCTCAAGTAGTTCAGCTGCCCACCAGCTAAGCCCTGGTCAAGGTCACGGGGGCCTCTGAGGGAAACCTGGGGAACAACTGAGGAGGTGGAGCCGATGAGGCAGGGGTCTGGGAGGCCAGAGTCCCTGGCTTCCTGTCCTGGTCCCACCATTTTCTTCTTGTGTGACTGTGAGCAAGGCTCTGCCCTTATTGGGCCTCTACTTCTCACCTGAACAAAGTGAGGGCAGTCACACTGTTCTACTGCAGGATTCTGATCAGTGGCCAAGTGTATGTCCAGGTGGCAGGGTGGGCTGCAACTCTTAGGGGAATTTCTGCTACCCAATAAACGTGTCCCTGGAAGCACCCATTGATAGCTATGGCCCTTCTCCTCAGAAAACATGTAGATACTTGCAGGGCTAAGTTGACAGAGGGCTTCACACCCTGCCCTAAGCCCACTCTTGGGCTAAAAATGCAGGCTGCTCTGTTCTGCCCAGGCCCAGCAATTTTACACTCCCCAGAGGCATGCATCTAGCTTCTTCTCCGATCCCAATTCGACCACTTAATGAACTTTGCAGGCTCGGGCAGCATAGATTTGAAAAATGACACATCAAGGCCCTGGCATTCTGTGGGACTTGATAAACAGCTCCCTCATCCCTTCCCTGTGCCATGCGTGTGCCTGCTGAAGGGAAAGCCACTCAGTCTTGGCACAGAAACTCCTGCCAATCTCTACCACCTTGGCTCTGACAGGCCTAGGAGGCAGGTGGCTGGGAGGGACCAGCTTCCAGGTACTGGGTTGTGTCCTCTAAGGCTGGGCAGCAGGCATGCCTTTGCCGAACATCTGGGACACTGCTTGCCATGCTGAATACATGGGGGCCTGGGGAAGAATGGCAGGGGCTTCTCCTTCCTCCTAGACAACCCAGTGGTCCTGACCCTGGCCTGAATAGCAACCCAGGATGTGAGGGCACCCAGTCAGACTTGCAGAGGCAGTCACAAACATACTGTCATGGGTGGTGCTAGAAGACGGGGTGGCACCAGCTGAGGGAAGCAGCAGGGCAGGTGTTTAGCTGAGGGTGGGCAAGGGCTGAGAGTCAGGTGTCTATGTAATGGGGACTCCCATGATCAGCCTGGGCCAGGCACTCTCATTCCTCATCTTCTAGCCCCACCAGGTAGGTAGCATTTCCCTGACACTGGAAATGGGGAAACTGATATTCTGCAACTTTAGCCACAGGGCCAGTGTACAGGTGCCAGGATACAAACTCGACACTGGAAGGCAAAGCAGCCCACCTCGGAGGGGAAGGTTGGCTGCTGAGGTGGGTGGCACTGTGGGACGGGCATGGGCATTGAGGGTCTTACAGAACTGGATCAAAATCTCAGTGCCTCTGGGCAAGTGACCCATCTTCACTGGGTGTCTGAGACACACCACCAACTCCCAGTGCATCTTGCTGAGCCCTCCTGTCTGCCTCAGGGTACAGCACTTCATCCAGGGGTCCCCTATGTGGGAGGAAACCATGCACAGTTCCTGCTCCTACTTGTGCTGGGGAGGTGGCCCAGGCACCTTCCCCCTAAGCTCCAGCTTACCCAGCACGAGGAAGGACAGGACCCACTGGAGCACTGAGATAACTTGCAGTTGCTTTTCCACCTTGGATCTGTTGAGCCAGGTGACAGAGAAGAGGTCCTGGAGGGCGGACAGGATGCTGGAGCCCGCACCTGCAGCAGAGTGGACAGGTCAGTCCTTTGCCAGCTTCCCCTCGCCCCAGCCTCAGGGCCCTGGTGCCAGCCCACCTCCCACAAGGGCCTCTGCTGATATGTGAGGGAAACGGATACAGATTTGCTGTTGGCACACATGCCTCCCTGCCTCCAGTCCCTGTGTACACAGGGTAGGAACTGTGTCCCCCAAACACAGCACGTGGAGACACCTCGGGACTCCTCCTCTCCACCCCGATCCAACTCCCATGCTTATCCTTTACCTGCATCTAGTACAAATATTTGATCTGTGAGAGCTGTCTGTGAGGCCAAGGACAGGGGTTCAACACCCGGCAGGTGATGTTGTTTCCTCCAGGTGTACTTTGAGCAACTGGGTTCCTGGCCCACCCCCTCATCCCCTGACTGCCGCCACTTCTCCCAACAGCACAGCCTTCTTGCTGACGTCCCGACCGCCTCTAGATTTACTCTGCCAACATCAGCTCAGCGCTCAAAGTTCGGGCCCCAAAGAGAGATCACATGGGAAGTTTTACCTCCACCAAGGGCCCCATAGGCCAGCAGGACACTGTGCCAGCTAGCAAGCAAGTTCTGAGCCTGTGAGGTACAGCACGACCTTCCCATGAGATTAGCTCTGGGGCTGGGCCTCCAGAATGACACTCTGGACTCAAGCAGCTGAGGGGCAGTAGTACCAGGAACCTGGAGATGGTGGGCCACGCTTCTAACTCAGATCCTATTCCTTCCAGACTAAAACAGTAGGCTGCATGACACCCGGTCTTGTGCTGAGCCCCAGCTGCACGCCCTTTGCTCTCAGCATATCTTCTCTGAGCATTTCTTGGTATGCTGGCCACATGTTCCTTCATGCTGCTCACTCTGTACAAGACCCAGAACACAGATAATTTTGTCAGCCTTGTCCTTGAGGGTCTCACAACCTTTTACCCTGGCCTACAAGCTGGGAGTGGGGAGGGAGAGGGGCTTCGGGGCTGACATGCAGGTCATGGCAGAGTTCAGACAGGGACACTCTCATCAGCTGAAAGTTGTCAGCTGCTGCAACTCTGAGCAAGTCGACAAGAAATGCCAGGCCTGGCACAGGTCCTTCTCCTTCACCTGGTCTAATGGGGTAGAGGGAGGTGGCATGTGATGGTGCAAGAAAAGTCAGCCCAGGTTCAAATCCTGCTTCTACATTATATTGCTACCCAGGGCTCACTGCCATTCACCTCTGGTGGTACTCAAGAGAACTGAATACTCCCCAGGTACCATGAGTGAGGAGTGGCTGTAAGCAAACTCAGCAAAGCACAGAAAGCAGCTGGCCCTGAGCCAGGCGTAGAGGTTTCACTCTTAATTGCTCCTTTACCTCTTTATACAAATCCTACCATTGCTACCTTCCAAGTGGGTCTGAGGGTCTGCCAGGGTGATCTGGATGGCCAGCAAAACTGAGGCCTAAAGCAACACCACCCAGCCCAGTGCTACCCAGGGAGTGAATGGTAGAGCCAGGGCTGGAGCCTGGGACTCCTGCCCCCTGCTCAGGGCTGGTAATCTTTCCCCACTCAGAGGCTGCTGAGAGCAAAGGGCTCTGTCTATGACACAGGTGGCAGGAGAAAAGAGCTGACGCTCAAGGCTTAGTGCACCTGCTCAGTAGTGGGGCCTAGCAGGTGATTCGGTCCCAATTTTATCCTCGAGGGGCTCATGACCTTTCATCCTGGCCCACATGCAGAGACAGACCTGGCTAAGTCAATGGGAAAGCTAATGTGGCCATGCACAGACTCGAATCTTTGGTCCAAGGGCTAGCTGGCCAGGCCACCCTCCATCTCCAGCTGTGCCTCCTGGGCTGTTCTAGAGGAAGTGCTCGCAGCAGAAGCTACAGTTTAACCCCATTTTGGTACTGGGACACAGCTGAGGTCACTCAGCCAGAGCGAGGCAGGGCTGATTTCGATCCAGGCTTGTAGGCGTCCCTGTGCTGTGGCTCTCCCTGAATTCTTTCTCTCTTCTCTCCACAATGAAGCCATCTGGACGCTGGCCAGGGATAGAGCAGTGGGCCAGGAGTTGGAATCGCTTGAAGCAGATAAAACAGGTTCTAGCCCAGCTCGGCTACCAACTTCCATGCCAATTTGGCTATGTCTTTTCACCAGGCACTCGAGATCCAATGCTCATCCTGTCAGCAGTCATGGCAGGTAGGAAGTAGAGAGTTCAGTTGGACACCCATAGGCCACTGCCAATCCCTGCCACCCAGCTGCTGGCATTCCCTCACCCTGCAGCTGGGAGGGGGCCAGCAGAGGCTAGTGGGGCTGTCAGTGCTGCCATCATACACCACCGCCTTCACACTCAGCCTGTCAGATCCTGACTCGTAGGCAGGGCCAGCAGGGAGCCACAGTATCCAGCCAAGGTCTGGCTCCAATCTGCTTCCTGCCCTGCATTGCAGAGATGCATACCATACACTCTCACGGCACCTGTCTCACCTGGCCATTAGTCTCTGCCAGGGACATCGGGCATCAGGGCTGAGTCCTGGCAGGCAAAACAGCTCAGAGAGGCTAACCAGATGGTGGGACCAACCCAAAGGCCCAGAGGCAGCTGAAGACCTGGAGGTCCATGTTGTGCTGGACTGCCTAGGGGGAGCATTGTGGAGAAGAGGTAGGGTGGGGCAGAGCCTTCCAGCTTCCCTAAGCACAAGTGCTCCCACCTATGAAGGGGAAGAGGACAAATCCACTCTCCCTACAAGCATCTCATTCTGAGTAGACTCAGGATCAGGCTGGAGAACAGCAACAAGCCCCATGAGGAAAGAGTCTGTGGAGCCATCAACCAGTTGTTCCTGGCACCACTTGTTTCACAAGGTTCCCTTGCTCTTACTCGTAGGAGCGTACAGGACCAGGAACCACCAGAAAGTCCCTAACAGCCACAGGGCCATTCAGAAGAGCAAACTCCTCCCACCCAAAACATTACTGATGATCCCCGGAGAAGTAGGCAAAGGCAAGGTGAAGCCAAATGAGGTCAAGTTGCTTGTTTGGACTCAAGGTGTGAGCCACCAAGAGTCCAGGCAGGCATCTGGGCTGCAAGTTCCTCATCAGTTCCATGAAACCAGACTGTACAGGGCTGGCCCCGACTCCAGAAAGATGATATCCCATTTCAGGATGACCTCCCACCCCTTCTGTCCTATCCCATGCCCCCAGTCTCCAAGGGCATTCCCACCCACATGCTCCCCCCCAGCCCAGCTCCTGCTAGGAGAGTAAAACCAGAACTGCCAGCAGCCTTTGGTTCAGTGTGTGCACGCCTCCTTGCTCAACACCAGGTATCAGAGAGGCCCAGGAAGCCGCACCCCAGGGCTGACGCAACTGATCCTGTAACACACCTATGGGTGGCAATGGCTCAGCCCTGAGTTCTTGGAACAAAGAAAGGAACCTGGGCCAGCTCTGCCCTGGGCTGGCACTGTGACATAGAGTAAGTCACCTAATCTCACGTGGCTTCAGGTTGCCCATGTCTAGGATTATAGAGTGCTCATCCCACCCCTTCTAGCCCCAGCCCTGTGCGAGTTGTTGGGAACAATAAAAGGTGAAGTGCATCTGGCTCTCCTCGCCGGCTGCCAGGGCAGCAATGGGTATGAATGAGGAACACATACACAGCTGTACAGGCTGTGCAGGATCTCCAGGATGTTTGAAGACAGTCAGGTGAGGGCAGTGGTAGGGGACCTCAATGAGGCCCTGAAGACAAGATGTGGGGGTTCAGGGAGGAGGAAAGTGGGTACTGTAGATGGAGGAGCTGCCTATACAGAAGAGTGGAGCAAGCGCCCAGTGATGGAAAGAGGGTAACTTTACCCAAAGCAGGCTGGGAAGAGATGCTAGATGACCAACCCAAGTGGCTTCCCAGAGGTGGTGGATGGGCACTTACAAGCCACCAAGCACACAGCAGGTACCCCACCTGTTAGGAAACTTAGATTCTGCCCAGGGAGAGTCAAAACACCCACACACACAAGTATAGTAAAACATCAAGCAGGTCTTAGAGCCATGGGAAAAAATTAACCTGAGGTAAGGAGATAAGAGGCCAGGGCCACAGGACCCCTGGCCAGTAGGCAGTCAGCACTGAACACACACAAAGGTGGGCAGGTCATCTCTGGGCTACCACACTACTTCCTCCTCCTACCCACACCACTACTGGCATCTAGGGAGGGGACACACTAGCCAAAAAAACAGGGATGGGAGTCAGGATGCACAAGCAAGAAGTGTGGTCTAAATGAGTCAACTTCCTGGGCAAGCCTCAGTTTTCTCATCTGTACAATGGGGCTAATACCCACCTTGCCAAATCTTTGTGAGCGTGGAGCAAGATAATGTGTAGGCAATAGCTTCATAAAAAGTAAAGCTCTGCATGAAAGCCAGGTCACTAGCCAGCAAGTCTCTGTTGTCTCCCTCCCATGGGTACAACAGTGCGAGTGACAGGCAAGCCTTGGGGTTCAAGTTCTGGCTCTGACCTGTGCACCAGGAAACCAGAGGCATCACTTCCTCTGCTCGAGACTCGGTGTCCTTCTTGATTGTGACCCAGGAAGGTGGTGAGGAATATCATGCACCCATGGAAATGACCCAGAGTGTCTGGCACACCTGTCAGACAGTGCCGGGGTGCCAGTGAGGTAGCAGAGGTGGGACGGACCCTTGGTCTGAAGAGTTATCCTGCTCATTTCTCCAGCCCCAAGGACAATGTTCCCAGGCTCATCTGGATCCCAGCTCTGCATGTGAGCTCAGGGGAGGGAGGGAGAAATCACCGCAAGCGACTCCAGGTTGGGTCCAAGTTGCCTGGAGGCAAAGGAATGGACACACTGACCTCTGGCCCCAAGGAGACTGATCCAGAAAGCTGGCGCCAGTGCCAAAAAGATGAGTTCCAAGGCCATGGGATGTTCTCTTCCATGCAGCAGTGAAAAGTGTGACAAGGAGAGGGCTGATCACAGACACACTGCCAACTCTGGGGTCACACCTGCTGTTAAGAGTCCCAGTCCACACTGTGAATCTGGAGGGGAGAACAGAGGGGAA